GTTCCTAAACTTTTCATTAAAAATTTTTTTTTCTAAATGTTTCTGTATTTTTGAGAAAGAGAGAGAGTGAGCATGAGCAGGGGGGTGGGGGGCAGAGGAGGAACAGAGAGAGAGAGAGAGAGAGAGAGAGAGAGAGAGAGAGAGAGAGAGATACAGAATTCATGGCAGGTTCCATATTCTGAGCTGTCAGCACAGAGCCCGACATGGGGCTTGAATTCACCAACTGCAAGATAATTACCTGAGCTGAAGTCTGACACTTAACTGACTGAGCCACCCGCCCTCCCCCCCTGCCCTCCCCACTCCCCCCCCACCCCATAATTTTTTTTTTTAAAGCAAGAAAGCCTTGGTGAAACCTGTAGACCTCTCTTCTGAATAACGTTTTTAAATGCATAAAAATATATGTTGGATTACCAAGGCAGCCAATTCTATTAAATTACAATGATCAAAATACTAAATAAAACACAATTTGCAATGTGCTTTTAAAAATATATACTGATGAGATATAGCAGCAAGTCTCATAACAACTATAATTTTGAAGAACCGTAAAAGATATTTTGACATGCCTGCAAAGCCTGGTGATATAAAAATATCTGTGACTTGTTCTGGTGACAAACTCACAGGCACTGTTAATACAGCTCTGGTCTGTTGCCCGTGTTCCTTATTGAAGGAGACGCTAAATTTTAGTGAGAAGATACTGAAAACAAGGATGTAAAGCTTTTTTCCTATCCCAAGTTTGTAGACCCCTGAATCCTGTTCACAGACTCCTTTGCTTACTCTGTTGCAGTATTTCTCAAAGCACTAGGCCACCTGAATCAGAATAAATGGGGAGCAGGTGACAGGTGGGGTAGTGGACATCAGTAAATGTTCCTTCTTGAAGATTCAGGTTTTGAAAGACTGTAATAACAGCCTCATTTTTGCTGCTGTCCTGATTGTGTATCTTACACTAAATTTTGAGAGCCACTGATGTAAATAATTCAAAATGTCTTACTGTCATTCTTTTTTTTTTTCCCCCGAAGTATATTCACTTATTTTGAGAGATAGAGAGAGAGAGAGTGAGAGAGCAAGCGAGAAAGTGGAGGAGGGGCAGAGAGAGAAGGACAGAGAGACTCCCAAGCTGCGAGTGTAGAGCCTAATGTTGGACTTGATCCCAGGAACCATGGGATCATGACCTGAGCCAAAATCAAGAGTTGCACACTTAACTGACTGAGCCATCCAGGCACCCTGGTTCTTTTAAACCATAAAGTGGATTTGGAGTATGAGTTAACTCAGTCACATAGAAGTAAAATATGCAAACATAGCTTTGGAAATGTTTAGAAATAACCTAATGATGCTGAATGTGGGCAGTTTCAAATGCTTTCTTCCAAGATGACATTTGGTTCTTTGAGCTTAAGAGTATCTCTGCAATGGGTGGAGGCGAATTGAATTATGTGATGCTGCAAAGCACATATTTTTCTGAGAGAATTCTCAAGCCCGCTGCCCACTAGAGTGAGGACCTGGCTCATTTGCATGTCGACTGGAGGCCAAAGCAAAGGTTGATGTGTCGTATGAGCTGAAAGGGGCACAGGAGGACGCAGCTCCAGCCCCAGAGCATCCGGAAAGAAGAGGCTGAGCCATTATTACTCATCTGTGGGGTGCAGGGCCTTGCTGCTTGTGGCTGGAGGCAGAATGCAGGTCAAGGGCAGCCAGCCTCTGGGTAGACAGAATGAGCTCAGAGTTATTGGGTTGAAGACACCAGAAGTCTGCCGAGGTGAACTAGCAGCAGGAAGTGGAGAGAGGAGGAGCCCTCTCTGTGAAGTGGAGTATTGGCCAAGAACAGGGGCAGCTGATACACCCATAATGGGGAGAGCATCCTGGGCTTCTTACAAAAGGATGCTTTCCTCACTCCTGTGGCTTTAGGTCTGAGAATACCGTGGAACTTCCTGCTTTGGACTCAGACTCCATCAGTGATGTCTAGGACGTGGGACCTCTCTTCTGGTCACAGGAGATTTTGCACCTGGCAAGGAGAGCATCTGGGGGGAAGTAGACGTTTAATAGGTAGGGAAATTACCCTACTGTCAGTTTTCCTCTCTCGATGCCAGTAGTAGCATAGCACAGTGGGTGACAGCATGGGCTCTATGCCACTTATCAGCTAGATCATCTTAGGTACTCATCTTTCTGTGCCTCCATTTACCCATGTGTACAATGGACATGATAATAACAAGAGTACCTCTTCATAGGACTGTTAGGAGGTTTGAGCCAAGTGACACATGTAAAGTGCTCAGGATTGGTGCCTGCTATATTGTAAACAGTATACACTAATATGTATGTGTGCATACATACATATATGTTTTGTTAAAGAAGGAATGTTGGCATTATTTCAACAACCTCATTAATTCATTTGATGAACTATTGACTTGTTAACACACTCAGCAGAGTTCTGGACCCAGGTTTGAGGTCCCTGCTCCACCCTATTTTGTTAACTGTGTTTAACTCTGGCTTTACTGCTTTTGAATCCTTGGGCAGTCTTGAGCTTTCTGAGCTCCTTCTTGGAAAAGCCGGAAGGAACATGTAGAAGGTCATCTGGCCCAATGATGGCCTCATTGACCTAAAGGAGACTGGATTTCTCAAGGAGTTAGACTCTGGCTATAAACTCATATTTTATTTAAAGTTTATTTATTTATTTTGAGAGAGAGAGAGAGAAAGAGAGAGAGAATCCCAAGCAGGCTCCACACTGTCAGTGCAGAGCCCAGAGTGGGGCTCCATCCCACAAACTGTGAGATCATGACCTGAGCTGAAATCAAGGGTCGGATGCTTAACTGACTGAGCCACCCAGGTGCTCCTATAACTTTATCTTTTAATTCCCTTCTTTAAATATGAAACAAACAAATTCTCTATGGAATGGTATAGAGTTTGTGTTATTTTCCAGGTTATTTTTAATGTATTTATTTCTGGCAAAACTATTTGGAGAGAAAAACATTGAGGAACTGATAAATGGAAAGATTGTGAGTAAGTGGAAGAGTAAAATGATAAAGCGATATTGTTTGTATTTTATTTTATTTTTAAATTATTTCTAATGTTTATTTTTAAGAGAGAGAGATAGAGTGCAAGTGTAGGAGGGGTAGAGACAGAGGGCGACCCAGAATCAGAAGCAGGCTCTAGGCTCTGAGCTGTCAGCGCAGAGCCCAGCGCGGGGCTTGAATTCAGAAACCCTAAGATCATGACTTGAGCCAAAGTCAGACGCTTAACCGACTGAGCCACCCAGGCGTCCCTGAGTTTGTATTTTAAAACAAGATTTCTAAAACTCAAGTCTCATGATGATCACAGTAATAATAGTAGCTTGTGTTGTTTGAGCACTTAACTCTCTGCCAGGCCTTGTGTCAGGAGCTTTGTGTATAGCATGTAATGTAATCCCAGGGAGTCATATGCTTTTATTTTAAATATGAGGAAATTCAGAAGCTAAACCAGATTATGTGGTTTGCCTAAAGTCACACAGCTGGCAAGGAGCAGAAGTGACATTTGACCTCAAGTAGTTAAGCTCTGGAATATTTGCTCCTAGTCCCTATACTTCTGTTTCTTGCTAGTCTAACATTCCATATAGCCTACCAAGAATCTCATCTGGTTTCGCCTTCAACCACCACAGGGATAGGTGGCTTATTGTGTTCAGTGAAACTCATTCCATTTTGAACATAGTTACTTTGGTGGAGAATTCTTTGCTCTTTGAACTGGCATTGCCTTCAAAGGTAAACCAAAATGACCCAACAATCCTAGGTATATACCCAGGAAAATTGAAATCTTATGTCTAAAAAAAAAAATATATTAGTGAGTGTTCATGGCAGCATTATTCATAATAGCCAGAATCTGGAAATATTGCAAGTATTCACCAACTGATAAATGGTTAAAAAATATGATCTGTTCATACAATGGAATTTTATTCAGCCATATAAAAGAACGAAATAGTGGTACACACCACAGAATGGATGAATACTGAAGAGATCATGCTGAGTGACAGAAGCTAGCACGAAAGACCATATATTATATGATTCCATTTAATTTTTTTAAAATGATTATTTATTTTTGAGAGACAGAGTGTGAGCAGGGGAGGGGCAAAGAGAGAGGCCAGGAGACACAGAATCCCAGGCAGGCTCCATGCTGTCAGCACAGAGCCCAATAAGGGGCTTGAACCCATACACTGTGAGGTCATGACCTCAGCTGAAGTCAGACGCTTAACTGACTGAGCCACCCAGGCACCCCTATATGATTCCATTTATATGAAATGCCCATAATAGGCAAGTCATGGAGACAGAAAGTAGATTAGTGATTTCCAAGGGTTGTGATGCGGGAGGAATGGGGCGTGACTGCTAGTGGGCACAGGGTTTCTTTTTGGGATGGTTAAAATGTTCTGGGTTTAGATAGTGGTGATAGTCATACAACCTTTTGAATATCATAAAAACCATTCAATTGTATACTTTAAAATGGTCAATTTTATGGTATATGAATTATAACACAAAAATTATTTAGGAAAGAAAATAGTTTTTTATTTCTGATTCAAAAAATAATGATTAAACCAAACAAATCTATAGATATTTGAAGCCGACCAGTTTGTATTTATTGAAGATTTTCTTCTCCAAGAAAAAGAGCTCTGATTTCTTTAGCCATCTGTCTTATTTTGATTCCTGGTTTGAACTGATTTCTTCACTAAATACCCCAGGTTGACAGTGCTATTTTTATGATATCCCTTTCCAAATCAAAACACTGTTTCAAGTGGAGACTCATGGGGTTACAGTAGAATAAAACCTGCCTCTCCCTCCCTGAAGTCATTATATGATTACCCCACATTGTTGGTATTCATGGGTTGAACATTCTCAATTTTGATTGATTGCAGTCCGTGATTCATTATTTTCTTTTCTGAGAAACATTAAAAAGTAGATTCTGTTGTTCTTTTGGAAAAGGTAATTTGAGTGCTTAATTAAAACCGAAAAACATTTTTAAAAAAAAACAAATTGTTACATTTTTTGTAGATTGCAAAAGAAAAAAAAAGCTGCAATCCTCAACTCTTTCATGACCCATGCCATTGCTGTGGCTTTGCAGCTCCTTCCATCAGGAGGTAAAGTTTCTATTACCATCTCTTGAATTTGGGTTGGTCTTACAACTTGTTTGGCCAGTAGTATGTGGCAAATATGACAGTGTGCCAGTGTTGAGCATATCCTTAAGACCTTCATGCTTTGGCTAGGTTTGCTGTTTTGCTGTCATGAGAACTCGAGCTTGCCTGCTGGGGATGAGATATGGGTCACCGAGGTGCCCACATTGTGCAGCTTATACTCAGCACTCTGAAGTGAATCCTCCAAACTGCCCAGTACCTGGCTACAGATGCTTGAGAGCCTAGCCAAGTCCAGAAAAACCACCCAGCTGAGCTCAGACCTAATTGCCAGCCCATAGACATGTGAACTAAGCACGGGTGTTGTTTTAATCTACTAGTTTTGGGGAAGGTTTGTTACGTAACAAAACCTAAATGAGGTGTTGCATCCTTGGCTGGGATATAGGAAAATGTGAGAGACCCTCAACTCAACAACAAAACCACAAGTCACTAGGCAAACAAGAGCAATACAGTCATACTTTTCTTTTCTTTTTAATGTGTATTTATTTTTGAGAGAGAGACAGCATGAATGGGGAAGGGGCAGAGAGAGAGAACGACACAGAATCGGAAGCAGGCTCCAGGCTCTGAGTTGTCAGCACAGAGCCAGATGCAGGGCTCTACCCCTTGAACAGAGACCATCATGGAGCTTGAACCCATGAATAGTGAGATCTGAGCTGAAGTTAGATGCTTAACTAACTAAGCCACCCACGTGCCACAGTCATACTTTTCTTTCAAACTATCAAAGAGCCCTGGAGGCAAAGAAATGTAAAGGGACTTAACTTTAGAGGGAGGAGCCATTCCTAGAAACAGTGTTTAACATACAATAGAAAATTAGAGGACCTGCAAAAGATAGAAAAGTGTGGTTAATTACTCAAAGGGAGGCAACTCAGATATAATTTTCAGGTAACAACTTAAAAATAATGATCTAGTACAAATGTTTAAAAAATGAGTCTATTAAAAATCTGTAGAAATGAATCATTTTAACAAATGAATAAAATGGGACCTATAAAAAAAGAACATGATGGAAACCCTTGAATTGAAAAAACGCTATATTGGTAATAAAATCTTCATGTAAACTGAGGCAACAAGAGAATTACCAAAAAAAAAAAAAAAAAAAAGATAATTTAACAGAACTACTCAGAGAACATGTAGGATAAATTAAAACAACAACAACATTTTCCTAAGACATTATAGTCAAATTGACAAAAATGAATGTTAAAGAGGAAATATTGAGATCAAAGAAAAAATACATGTGCATTAGACACATGGGAACAGTGCAAGAATTAAAGCTGATTCCTTCTCAGAAGCAGTGGAGACCAGAAGATGCTGGAATGGTATCTTTAAAGGGCTGAAATAAAAACAACAACTCTCAATATAGAATCCTGTATCCTGAGTAAATATACTTTAAAAATGAAGGCAAAATGAAGACATTTTCAAGTGAGGGAAAGCTGGATGAATTTGTTGCCAGCAGAACCTCGCTGTAAGAAATGCTAAAGAAAGTTCTTCAAGCTGAAGGGAAATGATACAAGATGGGAACTCAGGTCTACAGTAAATACTGAAGAGTGTGGGAAAGGGTAAATAAATATGAATAGATATGAAGGGAAACTGAAAATCCAATTTTTAGGAAAAAATTTTAATGCATACTAAATATGTAGCTGAGCTTTAAAAGACTACCGACTGAAGCGAATGTTACAGCCATGTGTCGTGAGGTCTGTAATACAGGTGAGAGAAAAAGATAGGTGAATATTGGCACAAAGGGTGGGCAGGGATAAGCGGAATTAGGCTATCAGTAGTACTCCATTGTTAATGGAGTTCTAGAGTATTATTTTAGGCTAGACTGTAATACATTAATACATGGAATAAACTCTAGAGCTGTTCTGTTCAATACAGTACCTACCAGCCACATGTGGCTACTAAGCACTTGAAATATGGTTAGTGAAGCTGAGGAAATGAATTTGTAATTTTAATTATTAAAATTTGAACGAAAAACTGAAGTGGCATACATAGTCTTCTATGAAATACCATTTTATTGCTCTTGTAGAACTACCTTTCACTTTCACTGTTGTGATATGGTATAGGGATAAAATTCACATCAGATTTCAAAGACTTAATGTGAATGTAATTTTAGAACGAAAACTGTATGAATATTTTTTAAAATTTTTTAAATGTTCATTTATTTTTGAGAGAGAGACAGAGACAGAGACAGAGCACAAGTGGGGGAGGAGCAGAGAGAGGGAGACACAGAATCAGAAGCAGACTCCAGGCTCTGAGCTGTCAGCACAGAGCCCATTGTGGGGCTCCAACCCAAAAACAGTGAGATCATGACTTGAGCCAAAGTTGGCTGCCTAACCAACTGAACCATCCAGGTGCCCCTCAATATTTTTAGTTATTACATGTTTAAGTGACAATATTTTGGGGACATTGGATTAAATAAAATATATTGTTAATTTCAGCTTTAAAATTTTTTTTAATGTGACAACTAGAAAATTGAGATATTCTGTAAGTATTACATGTATGGCTTACATTATATTTTTCAAGTTTATTATTTTTTTTTGAGAGAGAGTGTGTGTGCCTGCATGAGTGGGGGAGGGGCAGAGAGAGAGAGAGGGAGAGAGAGAATCTCAAGCAGGCTCTGTGCTGTCAGTGCAGAGCCCCACAGGGGGCTCTATCCCATGAACCATGAAATCATGAAGCTGAGCTGAAATCAAGAGTCAGACACTTAACCAACTGAGCCACCCAGGTACCCCTACATTGTATTTCTATTAAACAGTGCTATTCTGTAGAAATTACTAAAAATATATGAGAGTGATACAGCTCAAAAGTCAAATAAAAGACTCTTTGCAATACCAAAAAGTACCCAATTTACCCAAATTAATCGAAGAAAAGAGGAAAAAAGGAACAGATGAAATAAATGGAGTAAATGGAAAACAACTAGCAAAATGATGGACTTAAGCATAACCTTACCAACAATTGCATTAAGTGTAAATGAACAAGATGCGTCAAGTCCACAGCAGAGTTGTCAGATTAGATAAATATGTAAGACCTAACTATATGCCATTTGTGAAAGATTTTAAATATAAAGACAGATTGAAGGCCAAAGGATGAGCGAAGATACACCAGGTTAACATTAAGTTTAAGAAAGCAGATGTGGCTATGTAAATATTAGACAAAGTAGATGTCAAGACAGAAGAGTATTAACAGAGATAAAGAAGGATATTTTACATTAATTAAATTGTCAGTTTTTCAGGAATACTCAACAGTCTAATATGTGTATGCCTCTATTAAAAAAGCTTTAATATATAGAAAACAAAAAATGACATAACTCAAGTGATAAATGGAAAAATCCACAATCATACTGGGATATTTTATTACTGTTCTTTTAGTAATTCGTAGAAAAATAGAATAAATTAAATGCATACATGTAGTAATAGAAGTGATGTAGAATGAATAAGGATGGAATTTGCAAATTAGGATATTCTCAAAAGTCATCAGCCAATATCCCTAAAAAATTCCAAGGACCTATTCTGTTAATCTGAATAAAGGTTTCTTTTCTTTTCTTTTCTTTTCTTTTCTTTTCTTTTCTTTTCTTTTCTTTTCTTTTCTTTTCTTTTCTTCTCTTCTCTTCTCTTCTCTTCTCTTCTCTTCTCTTCTCTTTTCTTCTCTTTTCTCTCTTCTTTTCTTTGTTTTTTGCTATTGTTATAGCTACATATTGATTTTAAACTAATACAATCAGCTAATAGTTCTAATTTCTTTTCCTATGTGCATATTTACATAAATTATATTGGGGAAGATAGTTTGGAGACAGCCAGTGTTATCATTACTATTAGCAATTTGGATTATACTTTTCCTAACTATTATAATACAGATATCTAGAAATAATTTGTAAGCATAATTCCTTAATATCATTTTAAAAATTTATAGGGTATCTTAGAGGTCTTTTAATGTCAGTATATAAAGATGTGTGTTATTCTTTTAAACTCTTACCTAGTGTTTCCCAGTATGAATGTTTTATACTCTATTTAGCAATTCATCTGTGACTGCACCATTAGGCTATTTCCAGATTTTCACAATAACAAACAGTGTTGCAACAAAAATCCATTTCTCATTTTTCCCAGGTATGTGAGTTTTTCCCTAGGGTTGATACTCAGCGACATGGAGGGATATGTGCATTTTAAAGTTTCTTACATACACCCAAAATTTTCACAAAACTGTTAACAGTTTGCCCTTCTACAAATAGAACATAAGAATAACATTTGCATTTTCCTGATCATTTACTGAATTTGAACATTCTTTCATGAATTGATGGATCATGTGAACACCGTTTTCTATCTAGGAATTACTTGTCCTATCTTTTGCCCAGTTTTTATTTGGTCTGCTTGCCTTTTTCTTATTCATTTGTGAGAAAATTTTAAAATATGTATATTTACATAATAATCCTTTGTTACATGTGTGGCAAATATTTTCTCCTTGCCTGTCTCTTGCCCTTGCTTATCAGAAATTGTTTTTAGTGGTGTCTTTATTACCTTGTGTCTTTTACCTTTCTCTTTCCATGACTGCTTACAGATATTTCTTGTGTCCACATGTGGGTTTCTTTGGGCATCTCCTTGCTTCTTTGGATGGTGTGCTAGGGGCAAATTTTGGCTGACTTGAGTCAGCATTTCTGTAGTAAGTGATATTTTATTTTTATTTTTATTTTTAAGTTTATGTATTTATTTTGGGAGAGAGTGTATACAAGTTGGGCAGGGGCAGAGAGAGAGGGACAGAGAGAGACTCCCAAGCAGGCCTCCCACTGCCAGCACAGAGCCCTGATGCAGGGCTCGAACCAACAAACTGTGAGATCATCACCTTAGCTGAAGTTGGATGTTAAACCAGCTGAGCCACCCAGGCGCCCCAGAACGTAATATTTTAATCAGAACAATTAGCTTGGCTCAGTCCTGGTGACCTCTGCTGTTTGCTGGCTGGTTGGTAAC